TTTATTTAATGCTTCTACCGTTTAACCCCTGGGAGTCTTTGGATTAGGTTAAGCCAGATTAATCCATAAATAAAAGGGCTCCTCTTTTAAGTGATGCTGTGGGCATTTATTCAGCACCTAGCCAATTGTGGCTGATGGAAAAATGCCAAGGAGGATGAGAGCTGATGGGTTCATGGGTGGGAAATGGCAGGGCGGGCGCAGTTGGGGGGGGGGAAAACTTCAGCTTTAATGCCAAGAGAGTAGACAGGTTTATGAAGCCCTTTTGAGGTTGACTTGAAGGGGCTGAGGATGACTTGAAGGAGAGTGCCTTTTGCTCAGATTGCACCCTTTAGGGGGGTTAGGATTGCAAATTTCGGGGTTGTCTCTAGAGGTACCTGTGTGCATGGGTGTATGCCAGGAAAATCCCCCCCTGCAGAAAACTAACTGCCCTGGAGTCTGGTTTAGAGTAGGATCTTTCCCCCGATCTGTTAGATTTCTACCTGCAGAGTCTTGGAAAGTTTCTGGGGCTTCTGGACACGTGCCCCTTTCCAAATCCAGACTGAGCTGGGCGTGATCTTACGAGAACTGAATTCTGGTGTTGCAAGAGCAGAAGCCTTAGCCCATTCTAAGAAGTTAAGAGTTAGATTGGAAGAATGGAGGGGGGGAGACAGCTTTTAAAGTTGGCTCTGAACATGTTCCTTCTTTGACTTCCTTTCGGTCCAATTCCGTCAGTCACATGGAGCTCATTTTAGGTCAGGTATTCTCCACGGTTCCTTCCTTGTTTTGTCCTTACGGCAGCCCTTTGAGGTAGGCTAAGTTGAGAGAGGGAGGATGGGCAAGCCTGCCCGAATCCTGTGGGTTCAAAAGTCACTGAAGCACAACTCTCTGGGTGGCACCTCACCATTTTGTTAAGCGTTTCTGCCAAGAAGGCAATGATCACTGCCCGGAGCGTCTGGATTTTATTTTTTTATGACCCCATGTTTTATTGTTCCCCCATCTCTCCCCCACCCCTTGCAGTTCAGGGGTCATAAATTCTCCTGCAGTAGAAAGGACTGTACATCTGATGAACTGGATTGTAGCCCACAAAAGCTATAAGACAGACAGACAGGCAGACAATAGATACATAGATAATAGAAAACAGATAGATAATAGATAGATAATACAGATAAGTTAATAGACAACAGATAATAGATAATGGATAATTGTTAATAGAAAACATAGATAGATAGATAGATAGATAGATAGATAGATAGATAGATAGATAGATAGATAGATAGATAGATAGATAGATAGATGATAGACAGAGATAGATGATAGATTGTGATGGAATGGAATTATGAAGGCCGAGCTCAGGGAGATAAACATTTTCTTAGCTCGCCAGAACCGCGTTGGAGGAACAAGAGGATGAGACTGGCACTTCCTGAGGAATT